GACCCACGGCCGACCGCACCAACTACCCCCTGCTGGAGGTGCGTACCCCCAGAGGCAAGAATTTCAACCAGGTACCCATGAACTCCTCTGCCCTCGATCTCTCCCTTCTCAACTTCACACCTTCGCGTCAGGGATTCTTCCTGATCCAGTCGGAACGCGGCCATGGTGATAAACGCCTGGTCGTCTACAAGGTTCACCGGTTCGTTTCGCATAGATTGTTTCCTTTTTCTCCTCTAGATATGTTCTGTGTTCGTTCCACCCATGTCTGTGTTGGGCGCACACACAGGCATTTCTTATCTGGCATCTGTTTTGGATACCGTATTTCCTGCAGCATCTTCTCCACGGCAGTCTGTTCTGAGACGTTCTAGGGATAATTCCTTACTAATTGAGGCGCATATTCGCATTCCAGGTGTGTGTTTATGCAAAGAATAATAGAGTTCGTTGATCTCCGTAATTATAGTTTTGTACGTCTGAGCGTCCATCGCCAGAGATAAAGCAGCAACGAAAAACAGGCAATAGCTGTGGGGAGAGCAGGAATCAATCGGCCACCGGTGACGTCAGTCCGAAGGTGATGGCGCAGGGCTCTGTACGCGGGCGCCAGATCGATTGACTGATTGACCTCTGTCGCCTATAATTGTTGTTTGTATTTAGTGCCCGCTTTTATCTCTGATGATGGACTCCGGTAGGAGATCAAAAGCTTGATCCGAATTCGCAAACATCAATCCAGGATGGGTACATCCTGAGAGACAGATCGGTGTACAATCAAATACTATAATTACTTACTCTCTGCCAACTCTTTCAACGCAATTAGTGTGTCACACAATTTTCGACGTCCTTCTCCCCGGACACCTTCAAAAATCCGCACAGCCTCCGCAGAATTCAACGTTGTTCTGACTTCCCCGAGATCATTCACCGTAATCTGCCTCAAAAATACTCCCTCGAGTTGGGATTGCAGAATGAGTTTTAACGAGCACTGTCAGCAGACTCTGTAGCACAGCACTTGGAGACCACCTGCTGTAGTAGGCAATAATATGCCGATTTCTTTGAATTCACTGCGCATGAGGGTCGTCCCGCAGGATATTGTTGGGATTGCCTACAGCAGCCATGGTCATAGCGCTATCCCACATTTCGACCGACATCAATTCCGATTATGTTCAACCTGTGCCCCACAGCATGATTAACGCAAGGATCGTGAACTGCCCTGCATTTAACGCACTATCTGCTATCGCGCTCACCTGAACCCCGCAAACTGACCGGAGGACTGGTCGGGCACAGTGACTGACAAAGTTAAACAGCCTTTATACGCGTGCCGCACACATATGCCTGGTATGTACAAACCGAACCTGGTTTTTGTACAAATAGAAAAGGGGTGAATCGAATCCCAACTGAGTCGGACTGTCGTTGAGGGCACAATAAGTGGGAGCGCAGTGGCTGATAAGGCTAAGCAGCCTTTCTACGCGTGCCACGCAAACGTCTGGTCTATACAAGCCAAACCTGGTTTTCACACAAACAGGAAAGGGGGGCTCGAATCCTAACTGAGTGGGACTGCTATAGAGGACACAAGGGGGTTAGAGCCATTGCAGTCTGCCCCTCCATCCCGAGCGGAGGTCCATGTTATTTAGCCAATTGGCAGTTCATCGTCATAGGCTCAAACGCGTGAAATCCTTTAAAATGTGGTATACACACCGAGAGTCGACTTACCTCTATCCTTTTAT